TGTATAAGGAGATAGACTGGTAAATGCTGGTATGTGGTGATTCTGTCAGATGATGATGAAGGAGACAACAACTGTAATAGGAACAATAATAAAAAACAACGCTACAATTGACTGTCATTCTAACAAATGTCATCACTATGACAGAAGCTTTTCTAAATCGTCATTCATTCTTCGATAAAAAAAGAGTTGATTTTCTTTTCTTTAACTTTCAAGTCACAATTTGATTAGCTGAATTCTCTCAAGCAAGTATATATCTATGCATCTGTCAGTATGTGTACATCACTAGCAGAATTACGAAGTTACTGAGAGATCGTGGCCTTTTTTCCTTTCTTTTGTTTAGCATAACGTTGAAAAGAAAACAAACTAGCGAGATGATATACATACGATAAGAACAAATAAGTACACAAAATATAATGTTCTGTGTACGTGCTTTGGCTTATTTTTCATCCTTCTCTTATTCTTTTCTTAGATAAAATGGTTGGATTACTATTATCTGTTGTTGATCGTGTATTATTGTCAATTCAATTGAACAGAAAAAGAGAAGAGTCCTTGTACAATAATATATTACAAAAAGGTGATGTCTCTCTTGATATCTTAATTTTGCTCGATAATATACCTTTACTATTCTCGTTTTTGCTCGCTTTTTCTTTTCCTTCTCTTTGTTCTAGAAATATAAGGTGGTATCGTACTGATGACGACAACAGAGTAAAGTTAGTCTTTTCTAAAACAAAGAAAAAAAAAGGAAAATAATCTTGGAAGCGATATTTCTTTTTCCGTTGTTTGCAATACGAGATTATCATCAAAGCGTAATAGAAGAAGATCCGTTTCTTATGGTGAAATTCTCCTCTTCCACCTCATACGGCTAACGTGGATTTGCATGCATATATATTTACAAGACAAAAAAAGAATCAAGTGTCATTTCATGCCCACTATCGACAAATCAAAATTAAATCATTTGAACAAGAAAATAATAGAAATGATCCTAGTTATATTAGTTCCAAATATAGATGTTCTTAGTTCTGATTAAATGAAAAAACTATGGATAGACAATTTCATATTTTCTTCTTTTTTTTTTTTACAAATTTGAATTTTGGTTTTGAATTTTAGTTTTTTCATATAAGAAAATAATAATATTTCATTCTACATTAACAATCAACTATCATACGAAAATTTATTTCTCTTAAAAAGCACTTATACGAATGATATAAACTGATTGATCTGCTTATATAATAATTGTAAATATTTTATATTTACCTTTAATTTTTTATCTATAAGTCAATGAGAAGAAAAGTAAGAAAAGGTTTTATTTTTCTATTTTATGATTCTATGTTATTATAACGAAATCACTATAAAAATTTCGACTATACAAAACACTAATGACTTATAATAAATCAATCAATCAGATTGACCTATGATATCCTTACTTTCTCCATTTCATCTATTATATTTAAATATCAAAACTATACGAATATAAAATTCAAAAGTAAGCAAAAAAATCTGAGATAAGAGAAAATGGAATGTAATCAGCAGTACTTTTTATACAAGGTGTTGTAAAAAAAACCGTTACCTGTCAACATTATTACTGTAAGAAATGCATCATCTACATCTCGCAACAGGTTGTGTTGCTGTGGGCAGATGTCACACACAAGTGCACATTGTCATTGAAGTATGAACAATGAATAAAAGAAAACGATGCACTTTTAAGTATTGAGTTTTTTTTCCACGTAAAAAAAAGAGGCCCAACAAAACACCAAAAAAGAAAAAACAAACAAAAGAAAGAAGGCACACGTATATTTGTTAGAAAATAGGAGACCGTCACGCGTAGATAAAGCTTGAGTTATTTCATGCATTGACTAACAACATAAAAGCAATATTTACAATTGTCGTTAACATGTTTCGTCTCTTTTCTTTCTGTTACTCAATTCAACGTTTTCTTTTCTCGCATCTTGTACCCTGTATATAATCTAGACATATCTTTATCTTTTTTTTTTCTTATTATTATTATTAGTATTATTATTGTACTTTGTCCATGAAAAATTTTTCTCCTAGCTTGATTATCAATTAATTACAATGTCTAGAGGAAAGAAGAACGTAGCAAAAGAAAAAGCAAAAAAGAAAAGCATATATGCTGATAAAAAAATCATAAGTGATGATGATCTAGATTGATGATGTGAAAATATTTTTTATTATATTATGAATGATTGTAATTTAATTTCACAAGACTAAACGTGAAAGATATTTGGTACAATGAAAACAAAAAAGAAACACAAATATATCAAACAAAGAAAACAGAAGAAAAAGCATACTCTTAAAAATTCAATAATTATAATGCAAATCATCAAAAGTAAACCTCTTGTTTTTTTTACTTATGTTTTCCTCTCATCAATCTACTCTCTAATGACAATAATAATGGATTCATCCTTTAAACTACTCATAATATAGCATTTTTCAATGATAGTGAATAAAACTTTAATTGATATGTTTTGAGTAAAAAAAGAAAAAAAGATAAAGTATTACTTGAGAATAAATTATTTTTCCATAAATAAGTTTTTTTTAAAATTACTTCATCTTTTCAAATTGAAATTTATCAACATTTCTTTTATCATTTGACAAAAAAAAAAGAATCATTTTAAATATTTGATTGGTTTTTGAACTTTTAAAAAGCTATTAGCATTTTGAACTATACATATTCATAAAACAACAACAACAACAACAATATTTACTATTAAAATATTTTTAATTATCTGTTATATATACTAAAATCAGAACTTCATCATTTTCTATAAAACACAAAAAACATATCAGTTGATCAAGTTACTATGTCATGCATCATTGAATAATCTACTACTTTTCTAAGGCTAATTTATATTCATCTACGTATGAAAGACGAAATATTATACTAAGAAAACTTTATTATATAATTGAACATAAAAGAAAATACATACCGAACAATTATAAAGGTTTAATGCCATCAAATTTTCTATCTCTGAGATGCTATGTGGATACTTACAAAGACATTCTTCGACTAAAGTGCGAATCTCTTGCATAAATAAATATAATCAACAAGGTTATCAATGTTGATGAACACAAGTTGCTAGACAAGAAGACTTAAAGAAAAAAAAATGATTTATTTCTCTTACATATATATATATTTATATTTTTTGACTAACAGTAGAAATGCATGGGTAACAAGCCGTGAAGAAAAAAAGAAGAACGAATATATGAAAGAAGAACAAGTGAGAGAAATAGCAAAAAAATCCACTTATCGTCAATAACGATGAGAACGATTGATTGAGCATTTAAATGAACAAAAAAGGAAATGTGATAGAATCAGTTTGAATAGATCTATACGAATACAATCATGTTAATTCTTCATTATATCCAATAATGAAGAATTAACAACAAATAAAATATTTCATTTAGACTTTTCTATGAAGACAAGGCAATCACATATATCATATTTCATTTGCGTGTAACTTGTTAAATGGCAAGATGGTTATAAATCATTGAGATTCTAGTAGATGATGCGTGTTATACATAAAAAATAGTATCTGTTGTATGAGTACATGGTAAAAAAGCAATAATATTTCCGGATAATTACTTAGTTTTTAATATAGTAGCACTTAGCTACAGTGTCATGCAAGCTACCACCTCCTCTTTTTTTCGTGTTCGTATTCTTTGTTTTTCTTTTGCTCTATTTTGTTTTTACATTATTCATCTTATATCTAAAAATGATGATAACTTCTTCGTGATGCAGTCAAAAAGTTCTACACATTAACGAAGGTGTCAAAATAACAAAAAAAAAAAATACAAAAAATGAAAGATAAAATAATGGCGATTATATTAATTATGTTTATTTCATCACATTTATTACGAAATGAAAAAGTACTTGAAAAAAAGGAATGTATTGCAATTCTAATATATCATCATTTTGAAGTTGAAAGTTGATTTTCATGTAAAAGACAGTTTTATACTTGTATTAAGGTTACTAAGACCTACTTGCATATATACATATATAAGACAGGCTTTGTTTTTCAGAGAAGTAAAGATAGATATGCCATAAATAATTGACGGCAATTGCTTTGAGAATTATTAGTACCATAAAATGTTACAAATATATAAACATTAGACCTCGATCTTTCGTTTTCTTACGCTGATATATTTTTGAATACCCAAAGATCTTTTTTTTTTAAATAGATTTTGATCTGTTGAAGAAATCAAAAAACGATAAAGAATCTTTTTATTATTTCTTTTATGACATATATATATATAGCTATAAATATATCAAGAAAACAGTATGGATAATAATCCAATAGTGATATTATATGATTAGGTCAGCATATTAAAGTAGTCTTACAAACGAAATTTAAATATCTATAAAACTGGGTTAGTATTCAATAAATGCATATACCCAAATTGTACTCGTTCGTTTTATCTTACTTGCTTTAAATATGTATGAATGCGGATGTTTGTTGGATGAATACTGACATCGAATGATTAACTATATTATTAACGCTTTATTAAAATTTTCTCTGCTTGATTAAGTCGTTTATTCAACAGAAAATATGGAGATTATATTATATATGGTAACAAATAATAATTAGCACCGAGTCTTATTTATTGAACTTGAATATGATGTATATGAAATTTATTTTTTAATCTGATTATGCTTTATTCTATGCATGCAGACTGATATAAATACTAAATAAGACGATAAATGATGTTGACACTTATCAAAACGAATAGAAAAAGAGGAATGTTCTTATTCTATTTGATTTTTGAGAACACTCATTCTGTCCTACTGTTCAAGGTTAATCTGTGTCAAAACAAAAGATGATTGACAATGATAATGACGAGACATTGATGGAAGTACTTTGACGTATATTCATTCCAGCATTGAAAATGTAATAGAATTAAGATGAGGAACATCTATTCATTTGTCATACAGTTTTCTTTTCTAAGTAAAAATAAATTAATTAAAAATAGCAACAAAAAAAAAACTAAACAAATGTTTGAATTGAATTAAGTAAACGTCGAACTGGTCTTACAGCAGCTAATCGTACTTCATATACTTGATTTTCAAATTGATTTAATAAATTATTATGATGTCCTAACCAATGTATTAATGGCCATGAATTCATTGTATTATTTTTATCATGATGTAATATTCTTTTTGTACCATAATCTAAAATCCTTAAGCCAATTCGACCAGTCTGAGCAAGATTTTGTGATAATTGTTCAATATCTTGTCCCCATATTTGTTTATTTTTATCTATATCCATATTATCAAATAATTTTCTTAAACGTAAATGATTAAGAGACCATGTTTGAAATATATCACGATATTTTATATCATTAATAGGAAGTTTCTCTAATTTCCATATAAGTTCACTTTCTGGCTGTAAAGCATCAGTAAATGTTGTTAATGAAACATTCGATGAATATTTACCACTTTGGGAACGTTGTTCAAAACCATATGGTTCACAAACATCAGCTAATATAACTAATGGACGTAAAAGATCTAATTTTTTATTTGGATCAATAATTAAATTTTGTAATTGAGTTTTATATGATGAAATATGTGTTATACCTGTTTGCATTTTATCAAGTAAATGATTCATTCGAAACATACGTTCATAAAGAAAATTTTCATTTGTTATTGAAGATGGAGACCAAAAACGTTCAGCTATAGCAAGAAGACGAGGCCAAATACGAGAATCAACTGTATTTTGTGTAGCATATTCAGCCCACATACATGCTTCACCACCAAGAATCTGACTTAGTTGTTTTTGATTAAATAACCATAATTCATCATTAAGAATTGGATCAGCTTTATAATGATATGAAGATAATGAAAGATGATCAAGATAATAACCAGTAGAAAGTAAACTTTTATAACCTTTGCTTATTGTTTGAATAAATGCTTTTCGACTTTTCCATGCTTGAATAATAGCATCTTTATCTATTGTTAAATTTTCATGAATTTCATCAAGAACTTCTTCCCATCCAATCATTATTTTTCCATATTTTTTAAGCATTTTTTGTATACGTTTATTAAAGTAAGCTTGTAAACCATTTTTATTTTCAAGTTGATGTTCATTAATAAATCGTTGAATTGTTACTGATTGTGTCCATTGAGAACCTTCAACTTCATCACCACCAATATGAAAATATGGATCAGGAAATAATCCTGTCATTTCTTTAAAAAACTTATCAAGAAATATATATGTATTTTCTTTAGTTGGATCCATTGTAGGTTTCATCATACCCCATCGAGTTTCAACTTGATATGGACCTGGCTCAGTAGCTAATTCTGGATAACCAACAAACCAACTAAAATACATATTGGAATTAACTGTCAAATATTAAAACGTAAAGTTCTTATGAATTAATTGAAACAAAAATATTTTTCAATTAGTTAAAAGTTTTTTTGAGTGGATTTAACTTGAATATATGTAGACATTTATGAAAACTCTGGAGTTCTTGACAGAGATGAAGTCTTTTTTCTCTAGTAAGAACCAACGATATTCCAAGAGACTTTTATTGTGAACAACTCATCCTATTCTCATCTAGATGTATATACAAATAAATAGATCAATAAAACGAATAGAAGATCAAGTTGCAGTTAAGAAATACAACTAGAAATGGTTACCGACTGGTCGTTGCCGACGTGTTTTAACAATTCTTTTAGTTTTAGTATCTTGTAGAAGATTTGTGATGAAACTTTGTTGAAAGTTGACTATGTCAAATATCACTTTTCAAAAATGAAATGGTACGACAACTCGTTAGTCTACTATCGGTATGGATTTCAGACTGACCGGTATAGTTCGTGAAAAACCCAAACCAGTTCTATTTCTGTAGCAATCAATAAATTTCAAAAATGAAAATTTCAATTGAGACTTGATCTTTTCTTCAGTATGATCGACTATATTTAGTTATATGCAAACCTAGATGAAATCAAGTTGACTTACTCACAATAAAAGTCTCAAAGGTTTTTGCAAGAAAATAAATGTAATTTTTGTCAGTCATTTTTCAATATTGGTGCATGACTAGGTGTAGATCATAGAAATATCGATACCCATAAATCCTAGTTAAATCTACCTAGAAAGCTTTCAACCAGTTGAAAATTATTTATTTTCGATTAATGAATAAAAATTTTTCATTTTTACACTTTAAATTCAACTTCGACGTACGTTTAAATCAAACAAATATCATATCTCAATCGTTTAAATTGTTATTCAAATCTCAAGGAAATGTCTTTCTCATAAGACAATGACTTATCTGTTATTAATTACCTTGTTGTATGACCAGGAATATCAAATTCAGGTATGATACGTATACGTCGTTGTCGAGCATATTCAACAAGATGTTGAATATCTTTTTGTGTAAAAAAATCTTTTCTATCATGTAACAAATTATATTCAATACTTTCAACACGAAAGCCCTGATCATCGGATAAATGTAAATGAAGAACATTAAGTTTACTTAATTCCATTGCATTTAATGTTCGTTCAATTACTGTTACAGGCATCCAGTGACGAGATACATCTAGTAATAAACCTCGCCACATAAATCGAGGCCGATCAATTATATTTACTAATGGAATATAAAATGTATCTGATGATGTATTTCGTTCAATTAATTGAACAAATGTTGATAAACCTCGAATAATACCTGTTGATGATGATGCATATAAATATGAACCTGTTTTTGTTATATTAAGTCTATAAGATTCATCTTCACCGAGTGTTGGATATTTATCTTCTTTTGAAAGACTTGTTGAGTAATCAATAATAAGTTTATTATTTGCAGGAGAAGCATCTTGCTTACTGTCTACTGATATTCCTGTTAATAATGAAATATATTTTGAATAACGACGAACAGCTAATCGAAGATCTTTCGAAAGTTTTCGATTTGATACAATATGAAAATTATTTGATAATAATAATGTTGACTGTTCTATAGTAACAAACATTGGCATAGGTATAACTTTAATATTTGTTGATATGGGATTATTTTCATAAAAAGAATAATAATCATTAATTTCATAATAGTCATTTCTATTAGCAAGACGAAAATTATGACGCGAACTTTGTAATAAGAAATATACAACAAGTACAAAATTAACAATAAGTGATAGAACCAATATTTTAAAAAGGAATACAGGTCGAAACATACTATAATGAAATAAAGAAAAAGAAAACATGATAGCTACAACTTTTGGTTTACTTATTGTTTAAACCAACAGAAGATAAGAAAAAGAACGCACTGGAATTTTTTTTTAATATTAATAAGTTACCTGAACAATAAGAATATAAAAAGTGGTGATTCATGAATTTTTTTGAGTGTACAATTCTAGACAACACTGAATTTGTCTAACTATGGATACAAATATTTTGATCGATAGATACACTTTTTTTAAACATCTTTTCAAATTAATTTTAAAAATCATACAGAATAAAACAAAAATATTCAGAAATATATATTCTATACTTATAAATTTCTTTACATAGAATTTATGTCTATGTATAAATAATACAAACAGATTTTAATATTTGTATTGATATACTTCTATTGAGATATTATTCAATGATTTTATGGTCGATCGTCAGCTGTTGCATATAGTGGCTTAGATTTATCAATAAATATCAAGAATATTGAAAATAAATTTCAGCACAATAATACTAATTCTGCTTCTCAAAATATTAGTTTATTAAATATGAGTATACACTATGATTGAAAATAATATTACATCGTAACTAAGTTAGAAATATGAATAGTTTTCTTTTGCTAAATTTTCGCGATAAAAAACACTTCTAAATTATTGGATTCATGAAATATACTTATCTATTTACTTATACTTGAAAATTTTTATTGAGTATGAGTCGTAATCTTCACTAACGGTATCCATTGATTCATAAATTTCTTAACAAAAAAAACTACAGATAATATCTTATTAAATAATTAATTCTAGCTATCAATCGAAACCTACTATTTGATTTTGTTATTATTTAAAATTATACAAAAAGAAAAAAAGTAATTCACAAGTTTTTGAACAATACGATAAATTGTTTTACTTTCCCGTCGAGAATAAAGATTTCTTTTTAAAGGTAGTCAAGTTCTTTTTTAAAAGTTTTTCTGACAAAATTTATCCTACTTAAGCTAGCCACGTGCTTTATAACATACTTACATATGCAAAAAAGAAAAGGAATGCTATACTCAAATAATTGTATTACACATATTTTGGTAGTTTGATAAACTTATAGGATCGTTAATGATCCTGTAAAAAGAAACAAATGAATAAAGATTTGACATCTGTCTCTCGATACTAATAGAAACAAACTTTTGTTAAACAACCATTCTTCGTGTAAAATATTTTTCTTTTCTTTCGTTCTTTTTTTCTTTGTTTCATATTACTTTCATCACTCACTAAATAATTAAAAGGCTTGTCGCGAAAAAAAAAGAAAGAAAGAACATGTGAAAGAAATGGAAAAAAAAAGAAAGCGATATACGCCAGTTGATATTTAACATTTCATTTTACTTTTACTCTTCATATTACCGTTGAAGGTTTTTTTTTCTTTTTTTTTTTGTTATCACAGTTTTCTCTCAATAAAATTTTAAAAAAAAAAAAAAAAAAAAAATTAACAAGAAAAGGAGAATGCATTAATACAATCTCTGCCAAGTATTATTCTGATCGGATTTCAAACCAAGTAAATAGTAAACGTGAACATCGGTTATAATAAGAAAAAAGAAAAAAGAAATGTCTGTTTCTGCCAGCCATGTATTATTGAAATATTATTAAAAAAAAAACGTGAAGAAACATTTCACAATTTTCTATTGTTATCGTAACTTTTAAAGCATAACATTCGTTTGAATGGCATATAACAATAGTTAACCTTATTATATAACAAGTTAAGTACATGTTCAAATCTTAGTTCTAGTTGATTGATTACAATAACTCCATCATGAATAATCTATAGGTTAATGTGATTGTTACAAATATTTAAATCAATGTGAGTTGAACAGATATGCATCATAGCCAAAAGAAAAAGTAATTGACGTTTATTATAGGTTGTTGTGCTACTTTCTATTAGTGATTGCTTTCTTGAGCCATTAGCTAGCAGAATAAATGAATCGATTATATCATGTTATTGCGTAGAAAATGTGCATGTTGTTTATCGAATGAAAATTCACGTAAGATTTATTATTAGTATCATATATCATATCATGATTTTGATAGAATCACAATAATGCATGCAAAGATCATTGTGTTATTTGTTGATTCTCATGTCACGTTGCTTTACAAGTATCCATTGAACTTCGTAAGCATGTATTACCTTGATTAATGACACATCTTCATGAGCAAATAAAAATCATCAAATGAATTAAAAAATACCCACACCCACACCCGTAATAAATATTAAACATAAAAGTATTATAGTTGAAGAATTGATATTATTAATACATACATCACAGCATCTTGAAATACTAGTACGTGAGGGATGTCCTTTTTTGAACAACAGTTTCATTGAGATCTATGTTTATTAATTCTAATAATAAGATTATATACGAAACTGAGGCATATGATCTAGTCTTTAATTTGATATTTTCATTATAAAATAAACCTTGGCTAGATGTCGTTATTTTTTGAAGAAAATCGATACTCAACTGTAAACATTCAGTATATTTCATAATATTTATAAAAACTTATGTATATAATAGTTTGATTATAGGTTTTCACCTAGAAATTATGATATGTTATTGTTTTACTAATAAAATCAAGTTGAATGTTTTAAAAAATAGTAAATAAAAATATAATTTTACTAATAACATTAAAAAAAAAGAATGGCATTGTAAATGTCGACTAACTAATTTAACAGAAGCAATTATTTTCATGAATTTTCAAATGATTATTAAAATAGAAAGAATTTCTATTCTTTGATGCAAAATTTCAAAAACATTTCAATTATTTTTCACAAGATTTTATTAAGAATATTTGTTTGGCTTTGTTATATCTTGACAAAAAAAACTATTCAATAAAGTATATTGAATGATTTTTTCTTTTGTTAAACATAAAAATAATTATTAATATTTTGACAATTTTATCAATCAAATAGAATACATAGATTTACGATTTTAAAATAAAATATTTTTTAATATTTCTTTTAGTTCTATTGAAATCGGTTAATTTTTCATAAAGTTAATTTTTTTTAGATTACACTTTGCCTTTGAAATATTTCAAATGAAGTTATATAATTTTTTCCCTAGATAAATATTTCTTCCCAATATAATCACAATTCGTTAAATAATTGATATATTTCAATAGATTTTACACTAAAGATAGCTAGAAAATATTAGAATCCACTGAGTTTAAAAAATTTCGCATCCGAATCTAGGTTTGACTCAATGAGCTCTAGGTTATACTTCAACTTATTTCTCATACAAAGTTATAACATCAAGCATATATAATAATCTATATTGGTTTCAATAGTACGGTCATTGATTTTACATTCTTATAGGATATATATATATATATCTATAATTAAATGCTTATCGTCTATGAGAACAACAAGTATTTGATACGAATTAATTGTAGATAAAATCCTAATGTATGTTTTTTTTACTGTCTGACATTACTGATGAATGATCCAGCAATGAAAATATTCTCTTGTTAGAGAAAAAAAAAGAATTGGTCTCTAATTCAATACTATATACACAAATGTTGAATGTATAACTTATTGAATTTCATTTATTAGATTTCCATTAAACACTTACTATGTCTCCTACTTCCTAAAAATACTTCTCAAAATTTCTTTTTTGAATATAATAACATAATAAATATTCGAGAGTTTTTGTAGAAAACGGGGTAATAAACTCAATTGATTTACAAGTAAAACTATGTTGATTGAGTTTCATCAGTCTTTTTTTGTAATCAAAATATAGAAGAGTTGAAAGTTCTTTTTTTTCGTATATGCTTCAATGATACCACATTGATGTATTTTTATAAGTTGTTATTTAAAAAATGCTGTTTTCTTTTATGACTATAATATATTTACAACAGTAAAATTTTCATTTTCGAATGTCAAATAGAAAGCTAATGATAAAATCAAATAGAGTAAAAATAACATAAAATTGATTTCTGTTTTATGTGAAACTCCAACACAAAACAAAGGAAAACGACAAATGATGATAATAATAATAATAATAATGATCATGATAATATTCCTGTATATTGTATTTTGTATGCCTAATTTTCCATGTAAATTATGAATATCCGGTAGTTCGAAAAAATAACAAGGAAATTCACTCGAGTTCATCTTCGTTTAATGATCTTCGTTGTTGTCGATCTTTTGATGATGCACTATCAATATTTGCAGTCATTGAACGTTGTATTAGCCATTGACGATTAAATCTATTAACAACTGGTGTATCATGCCAACACCAGCAATGTCGACTACATAAATTTACCCAAAGTAATAGAAGAAAAACGCCTACCATAAAAGCAACACCTGCTATATAGATGGCATTAATCATAATTCGAGTACGAACTGGTGGTGCTATTGATGACGACAGTGAATTGTTTGTTAATGATGATGATGTAATAATGTCAAAAAATAATTTAGTAGTATTTTCTAACATTTGATATTGATGATGTTGATCGTTATTAGTTTTATATATTTATATAAGCTGTATCAGAGTAAATTGTGATCAATGTTTAGTACGAAGTTTAATCGACTATCTGGAGATAATCGTATCATAGTTTCGGCGACAACAGTTAAGAAAGAAAAAGCTATTAATAAATATTATGCTTATAAATATTTGTATATATGAATATAAATATAAGTATATATAGTATACCAATGTTTTTCACTTGATCGTTGATGATAAATAAGAAAATGAGATGTAAATAATAGTGTCTATTTAAGGTTTTTCTTCAGACTTTCTTGTTCTCGGTGTCTACAGTCTGGTGAAATCACCCGTTATTATATGCTACTTCTATTTCTTTCTACCACATGTAAAAGAAAAAGAGAAATAAATAAGTATAGATATATAAATATATATATATAAGTAAAAAGAAAGTGAAAGAAAAAGGAAAGGACTCTTCATAGTACTGACAACAGCTTCCGACTGCTCTCTTGCTTCGTTTCTTTAATTCAGCCAATGGGTCGTGAACAAAAAAACATGAGACTCAAAAGATATATAAGAGCATTTATAGATTTTCATGACGTACAATCCATTTGTATAAAGAAGAACTACGAAATCATTCTATGAAGATTACTAACAAATGCTTATAATAAATACTTATTGATACTTGAAAATATAACACAGTTAGACGTAATTAATACAAGTATTAATTTTCTGTTTTCTTTTTTCATTATGTTGTCAATTTGATGATGACGTGTTTTTGAATGCTAAATTAGCAGTGGGACTATCGTCACTCGTTTCGTGACTATATTATAATTATTTTTTTGTTATTTGTAATTAACTAGATATCCGTGTGCATGATAGCAACCTTTTTTCTTTTGTTTCTTTGATACGGAATGAAAGAGGAATTACGCCAAACGGTTGATTGATCTGAAGATCTATTACTTTAAAAATAGAAAAAAAAATGTACGACTTTTCGATTTATCACTGTCACTAGAGTAATCAATTATTCATTAAAGAATAAATGACTTTAGAATTTCTTTTTATCTTCAATTTTGCGAAAATCTAAACTAAAATTAAATCTTTTATGTATTATTCTTTATGATCGACGACAATAATTGAGTTTTTAACGTACTAATTACTATTCATCATAGAATATTCGTCATCGAATATAAATTATAGTTATCATTATAACAATAATAACAACAAAAAGAGTTTGTTAAATACAATCGTCTTCTTATACCAGTTGAATTTACATATTTGACAAAGAATGTATTGATCTTAGCATTTTAGAAGAATTATATAAACAAAAAACAATATTATTTTACAATCATAATAATGTCATCTATAGCCTAAGATTCATCATGAAATATCTCATTACTTGCACATATTTCTTTTCGATTACTTATCAAAAATGAGAGAAAATTTTTTATCAATTAATTTTTTGGTGATTCTGAACAGTAATTATTAAGCGTTACTTTTTGTATTTCTTCTTTTTAAATATTTGCTTATTTTACCTTGATAAATCATTCAGGTATGACCATAGAGCAACATAGAGTGCTGTTCTCCAACTTTGATGTCAAGAAAAAAAAAGCATAAATGCGTGCATCGATCAACATTATACATATATTTGTTTGGTAACATGACTATGCTTGTTTTTTTTTCCTGTATTTTTTCTAGTCATTTAATCTTTCCTATTCATTGAAAAAGGATAATGTGTGTCCTGATTTTAGTATAACAAAAACAAAAGAATAAGATGTATAGAGATGCAAGCTATGGTGAAAATTGGCAACCAACACCCAATAACATTGCAAGGTGACGATTCAATTAAATAAATATATTTTCAGTTGTTCTTAACATTATTTTTCTTTTGATTTTCAGACGCATTGATCCTTACAGTCGATCATGTGCTCTTTTAGGTTGTTTCTTCGCTGTTGGTTTTATCCTTACTATTATTGTCGTTCTCTCACTAATTCCAGTTTATATTTCTCGTAGTTCATCTGGGAAAAAGAGTTATGTACAAGTACCAAGTAAATATTTGGATCATTTATTAGAGTTCTATATCAGAATAATTTTATGCTAACTTTAGGAGTCTATGTAAATGGTTATACATTACAATTTCGCTCGCCATCGAATAGTTTTAATGCAGAAGCAATTCTTTCTCATTCGAATAATCTTCAAGCATTACGAGCTGCACTTACATCAATGATTCAAAATAATCCTACACTAACTGGTTCGATTGTAGATATCTCTAAATCTTCTTTGTCTTCGAAAAAAAAACGTCAAGAATTATCAGATTCTTATGTTTTTATTCTTGATTTAAATGTAACGAGTGGTAAACCTTGTACATCAATACTATGTTTAACTCAATTTCAAACACATTCCATAAATCAACTATGTGATAAAAATCGAACAATATCTACAGTTCGTTTTGAACAACCATATACAAATGAAGATGCATCACAATCTTCGTCATCATCATCATCACACATTTATTGGTTAAATTTTCGATTACCACAAATAATGAAATCAAGTAAATTTAGATTTATCAATAAATAAAAATAAATTCTTCTATTTTAGATGTTTCATTTACAAATGTTGATCTCAAAACTATATCATCATCACTGGAAACATTAATAACTTTAGATAAAAATTTAAATCACCCATCAACTACTGATATAATAATATCAACGAGTGATACGTTAACATCAACCACAACAATATTAACGTCAACCACTACAACATTAACATCAACTACTACAACATTAACATCAACCACTATGATATTAACGTCAACCACTGATATATTAACATCAACGTTGATAAGTTAACATCAACCACTGATACAATAATAGCAATACCAAAGCTTATGAGTTAAATAATTTTTTCTTACAACTTGTTCTTATTATGTTTTTGGCAAACATTTAATAGTCAGATACATTTACAAAATTAATTGTATTTTAGAGATGAACAAAAAAAAAGAACTGTTCAAATAATACATATAAAAAAAAAGCTCGAACAAAAACAAAACACAAATCCGTTTTGTAAATTAAAAATTATGCATTGATTTACTGTGACTTGAATATGAAATAATTTTTAAAATTAATATATATATTCATTATTAAAAATTATTCATGATAAATCTTGATTGTAATCAAGTGATCGTAATATATCTCGTTTATTATGCTGTTTATTAACCAGTTGAGATTGTAAATGCTGAATATAATTTGAAATACATTGAATAAATTCAAGCTCATTTTCACATTGATTAACGCCTGGTACTAAATTTCGAAGTTGTTCAAAAACATGAGTCGCATGTTCGTCGTTCATGATGAAAAATAATATATATTCATATACACACACGTATGATGCTTGTCACATAATCATTAAACTAGGTCGAATGCACGCTGAGATGGTGAGGAGTTAGTATGTAATACACGCAAAAAGGCTCGAGAAGAAGACGGAAAAAAAGAAAAAGAGAAAAAAAAAACGGATGACGACAAGCGAGAAAAAAAAATCTCGGCTCTGTCGCTCAACTTGAACACAGGACGAGCATTCATTTGGATGAATGATAGTAGTAGTAGTAATAGATGGAAACGAGCAGAATGACACTCCGAAAAGCATAAAATATTGATGCAAGATTTTTTTTTTGTCCTTTTCCTCTATAGACAGACAGTTTTTTTTTGTCACCAATCTATATATATGAACACTGTAATGATGTACAAGAAAGAAAAAAAAATGAAAAAAACACACAAAAAGTCTGATTGTTTTTTTTTCTCGTTCTACTATTGTTTGTTAAATAATTTATTGTTCAGAATTGTCAATTTCATTGTCATTTTCTTCAAAATCATTACTACCATATGTGTCTAATTCTGAACGATTTTTTAGTTCAGGTGATGGACTTCGCCATTCATGATCATTAACTCTATCGTCTTCTTCTTCTTCTTGTTCTTCTTCCGTATGATGTTCTTCAATATCATGTGATAAAGTTTTTTCATTTGTTGTTTTCATTGGTTGTGGATCACTAAGCCAATCAACGTTATGTAAATCATTCATAGGTTTTCGAATTGTTGTATTGAAATTCATTGGAATAGTTGATTCCGATTCAGTTGTTTGTGTATTTGGAATATCATGTACTTGATAATGATCATCAGTATTTGTTTTAATTGATAAACGTGGTTTTGGTTTAATAGTTGTTGATAAAGGAGGAAATAAATAATCATCATTTAATGGATTTTGCGTATCATTATTATTTAAAGTATTTAATTGTGATTTTTCTGTAATGCGTTGTGTTATTATTGGTTGTTTGTCAATATAATTTTCTGATTCCCAAGGTAATAAAGCATTAACATCATATGATGAGCGTCGTTTATCATCGTATGGAATTTTTGAAGATAATATTAATGAATCTTCTCTTGTTGTAATAGGTGTTTGTGGTGGAAGTGGTTCATTGTCATAAGTAGTAGCTTTATTAACTGAAGAATATGTATCAATTTCTATAAATGTATTAAATAAATAAAAAGTTTTAATTCTTTACAATAATTATTTTACTTCGAGATGTTTGAACACCAAGATCATCTTTCAGTGCTTCTAAAAGATCACGTAAACGATTCTAAATTTAAATAAGAAAATTAGAAAATATGTTAAGAAAATAAATAAATAAATAAATAATTTTCTTTACTTCATTAAGTTTTCCACGATTACGATCAATATGTATTTCAAATAATTTTTCAATTGCAGATTCTGTAGTTAAATTATTTCGTATAATGGCATCAGTTATTTCTTGCATAAATTTTACATATTGTAAACGTTCATGTCTAAAAATTAAATTAAATAAATATTAAGAAACGAAAAATGTTTTTTTTTTTTTGAATAAACATACTCAGTCAAACCAAATCCTTTTAATACGGCATCAGATTGTTTTCTATAAAGAAAATATCAAAAAATAGTATTGAATTGTTAAGAAATCACAAATTATTTTTAATTATATTACTATATTTTTCTTTACGCAAACACAAAATTTTTGGCAAATAATTGTTTACTATTTCGGATTATTTAACAAAAAAAATTAGAATACGAACTGAGAATTGAGATGTCATTTTGTATAAAACCGTAATTCAACTAAAATTATTCTTAATTGTCTTATTAGGTTTTATACGTATTGTCGTACGAAAATATTTAGAGTAAAATTGCTCTTAAATATTTATTCCTCCTGCATTTTTATATAAACATTTAGATGTCATTGTGTATAGGTAATATAGTCATAATAATGCCGCGCGCATTGAGTATGTGTCTGATATTATATATATAGATAGCTGAGGCAATCGAAAAAGAATTTTGAGTGAGATTGAAGAAAGATACATATAGACAAACCTTCATTCTAAAACTAAAGATGGTTAAAAAGGATATTTTTTATTCTTTGCATTACTGTTTTTGTTCTGTCAACAACATCATAGTGGGTCAATTTTGAAATAAATAGAAAATACCACGTAAACAAAATATAATATATACTTAGAAATATAGTGAACTTTATTACCTATAGAATGACATAGAAATGTATATATATAAACACGAGAGGAACGAAGAACAGAAACAATAGAAAAAAGAACTCATTTTTTTGATCGTGGGAGAGTCGTCTGAGAAGCATATAAGGTGCACTAGTCATCGAGTACAAAAATAGTGGAGAATAAGTATTTCGTATCTTCAAGAAGTCTATCCAATTTCGGTTAGAAAATTTTATTGAGAGTATAAAAGTACAGTTCGATCAGATGTGAATCTAAAAATTTTATACCCAATAGTCTCTATCTATGGTAATTAATATTATTTCGATCTCAAGATATATGATTTTGACGAACGTTGCTATACAATTCATCCAAATATATATATTCATCAAATAATATTATATTGAAATTTTTTAATTTTCGCTTGATACTTTGATAATCATTTGAATATTCCTTTTTTCCCTCGTATTAAAATATTGAATACAAAATCATGTAAAATATTCAATTTTTCAGCTAATTTACATTGTAACCTACTATCATCATTGTTGTTATCATTCATTAATTGATTTTTTTCATTGAATATAAGACGGTATTATGATATATACAGTTATAACAAAACAATGAATAGCGTTTTTACTATATTACTGAGAAATGATGAAGATGAGAGGAAGAAAAAAAAACACACACATATATATTCATTTCAAATAAAGGTTAAAATAGCATTTCAGAACTGTAAAAATAATCTTCAAGTTGAGAGTAGGAAAATATTCAATGTTATCAAAAAGTATTTCGATAATTATTTACCTTATTGCTGGATTTGTCATTGCTGTTGCTTTAGCTTTTTTAATTTTTTTTTCTACATTTTGTCGAAGTTCAAAACTTTTATTTAATTGTTCTCTATAGTAAATAGAAAAAAAAAATTCTTTATAAAACAAAATTAAAATATTTAATAATTTTTCTTTTAAATTTAGTATCTACGAAAGTGAGTAATATAATCATGCAGGTCTTTTTATATTTTAGACAGTTTATTTCTACTTATAAACTTACCTAACACGTCGAATACTATTTCGATAGAATAAATATAAATCTCAAAATGAGTAATGTTTTTTTTATGTTTTTTTTTTTTTATTAACAAACCTAAGTGCTAATTGTTCATCTTCTCTTTTTTTATTTTCATCCACAACGACTTCTTGTGTATTTGATTGTTGTTTAATTGTTTGAGATTTTGTTGTTCTTGGTGGATTATAATATGTACGATTATTTCGTAAAAATGATGAACCATCACGTTTAACTAAACGTGGTTGATGTTCAGTTGATTTTGGTTGAGAAAACGAATCTGGATGTTTATCAAGAACATCAGCACTACTTTTATTTCGTGCTGTTGATGTCATTTTACCTAAAGCAGCCATTGCAGTCAATGCTTGAGACATACCACCACTAAATAGAAAATAATTCTTTTTTTTTATTTGAAAATCTACGATAAAATATTTTTTGATATTTACCCGCCGAATAATTTATTTGCAATATCATTTTGATTAGAATTATTTTGATTAAGATTTTGCATTGCATCATTCATTGTTAAAGAACGTGTTATCATACGACTTGATTCAATACTTCGTGAACGTGCACGAGAGGTTGTTGGCTATGATAAAAATGAATTATTTTAAAGATTAGAAAAAAAAAAAAAAAACAAGAAAATTTCCTTTTACTTGTGATTGAACAATACGACGTGACCGTGCACTTTGACTTGGTCTTGCACGTGGTGTTTCTCCTTGATTTTCATTTGAAAATTGATCAAGTATATTTTGTGTATATGCCATTTGTACCATTTCTTTTCGAGCTCGATCTCGACATTTTTGTCCTAATATCATAGCTTTCGGTGGTTTAGAATCAATTGCAGCTTTAGAAGTAAAAGACAAATAAAGAATGTTATAAATTAGAAAATGAGAATATGTTTATATTTATACATTGTGCACTATGTAATCGTCGATAATGATTTCTCATATGATCGGAAATGATAGTTTGTTTGACAAGATCATTTTCAGTTGTTTTTAGAACTAAATATTTAAAGAAAATAAAAAATAAAAAAATTAATTAAAACAATAAGAAATATGATAAAATTTTATTTTTTAAATTATTTTTATTCAAACTATTATTTATCTTACCACTACTTTTGAGTCCATATAAACCTTTTCCTGGCCAATTAAGTGTACTACTAAGTAGATCACTTGTTGACATTTTCGAATTGTCTTTCGTAAATTATTTATATGTGAAAGTAGAAAATCTAAAAGAATACATAAGCAAAAGATTTGAATTTATTTCTGCATTTTCTATGGATCAAAAAGACGACACTACTATTGAATGGATGATATGTTACCATGTAAGCGGGAATTTTAATATTTTGTTTTGTTCCAATTTGATCATATATTGATTAAATTTTTTAGCTAAAATGTCTGTATCTACAGAAATAAGAATTAAATAATTTTACTAATGATTAAATTCGAGTCAGATAATGAGGAAACCTCTTCAGCTGACTCCTTCCGATTTCAATGTGTTTTTTTTGCCTATTTACATCACAAAGTATACTAATAAAAATCTTAAAAGAATTTCGGTTCCTATTGATATTTAACTAAGCTATCCCATTTTTAATATGTTTATTTTCTAGAAGCCTAAAGTTCTTGAGAAACTCATATTTTCAAATTGTCATCTAAAACTTTGTGCATATAGAGAACTCAATTAGACCAACTTCTTTAAAAAAAAATACACAAGTTTCGAATAAAGTCGGTGCGAGATGCAAAACTTTCAAAAAATGTATTTTTTATTTTTAGAAAATCAATATATTAAAGATTCAATGGACTAAGCAAGCCTCAATCAGAGGTCAAAAAAGATCACTGAAATCAGAAGGAGGTAGCCTGAAGAAATTCCCTCGTCTAAGGTTTCAGATACTGAATTCTACATTAGAATGATATTTCAGTAATTTTGTGAGATTGGTACTGTTGATCACGTTCTGAAAGACCGTAGGGCAATAACTGAAGAAACAGTCAATGAAGTTAAGAATGCTTGTGAGAATGAGTTAAGATCAAATAGTCGATGTATTGCATAAACTCGTTCATTACTACAAACACAAGCAGATCAGATTATAACGGAATATCTTATATTACAGCCATATAAAGTACAATGTATTCAATAGTTCTACAAAGAGAAGTTACATAAACTGAACATTTGATCCTGGCTAAATTTTTCTTCAGTATAATTACTCCGTGGTCATCGATTTTCGACTGTATTAATTTCATCAAATCGCTAGACATATTTTTCTTTAATTCAATTTGTAGTTACGGTTTTATAATGCTGATTTAATCGAATTCGACTATGAGAAGAACTATTTTAATTCTGACTTCTTTAGGTGTGGACATTTTATCTGAAATAGATTAAATAAAACAGACTGTAACGAAAAGTTATTTAAATACCTTAAGTAACTGCAGAAATTTTTTTTTCATTCGGACTTTTAAAACAACCTGCATAGTAGCTGATGAATTAAACTCTCATGTTAAGCTAGCGGTATTTCTTCTATGAATCAAAGGGTTAAGAGATCATTATTCAAAATCGAATAGGCATATGAAAAGGATAACATATGTCAAAGTTAATTCTCAACTCACTTCATATTCATATAATTAAACGATATATACATTTCGAAAATGAACATAAACTCTAACAATATTTTGCATGAGAAAAGAGTCAACTCATTTATAGTTCTCCGTTGAATGTATCCTTTGAAGTCTTAAGAGTTTAATAAAATAAAATTTTGCCATAATACTTGCGTTTACAATATAAACTATTTTGTATTCTTCTTTGACCAGAAAAGAAAATACAAATTACAGATTGATTAAATAAGAAGTGGTATACACATAAACATGTTTATAATAATTACTTAACCAAAAACAATATCTCCATTTATTTGTCTTCATTTTGATCATGCTAATTTTTTTTTTTTTTACATTGATTAAATTTATTTCCACTTGCTATAAATCACTTGACTTTGTATTATATATTGTCTTCTTAAACTAATACTTAAATAGAAATATTGCCTAAATTTCGTATTTTTTTAAAATATGTTTATTCCATGTCTCTAAGGAAATAACCTCTCTAATGGTACATTTATTTCATTGGTTAAATATTCTCCACGAATCATATATGAATGAATGAAAGTGTGACCAGCTGAGCGCAGCGATCATTCATCATTTCAAAAAAAAAAAACGAACAGAAGGTGTTCTTGACCAACGGACATATGCATAATTTAATGACATATTGATGTATAATTCTTCTTTTTCTTTTCTCACCTTTCATTTCCTTCCTATATATTCACACATCTATATAAAAAAAAAAAAGAATTATAACTATTCATTTATCGTTTTGTATCGTTATTTTCAGTCTATAGACAAATAAAAAGTCGTGGCGATATAATTCTGACTTAATCGTGTGATCGATGACTAACAACAATCGTTCATCGTATATTCGTGTCGAAGATCAAAATCAAACAGCATTAAATGAACTTTTTTCTGTTGTGAATAATCCAACACAATATCGTACACAATTATTATCAAAACCATTTCGTGATCGTGGTTTACCTGAATCATTTTTTCAACCACCATCATCATCACCAAATAATACATTATCAAAATCTACTGCAACATCATCAAGTTCAATAAATAATGAACAACAACAAAATGTACAGCGTCAACATGCAAAAAATCAACTTAGTTTACCTAACATTCCATCACAATCAACTACATTATTACGTACAATAATTAATAATAATCATATACAAGGACATTTAAGAACTGTTAGTGATACAGCTGTACTTGATGGACAAGGTACAACAATGGCATCAACAAATACAACATTATCACAAATTAATTCTCAAGTATCATTACTTCCATTACCTGATGGTTGGGAAGAAAAACAAACACCCGATGGACAAGCTTATTATATTGAGTAAGATTAATATTATTTTGTTTTTTATCTTATAAAATTTAATTTATAATGAACAATTCTTTTATGATCATTTTATTTTTATTCAGCTGCTTCTATTTTATTCATTTAGCTATATATAAATGAACATGCTGGTTTTTTTTCTTTAATGTTAAAAAATTTGAATTTTTGGTTTGTTTTTTTTTTAGTCATATGACACAATGTACAACTTGGATGGATCCACGACCAAGTCATTATGCAGCATTTCAATCATTTTGTGCTACACTTCCATTACCTGATGGTTATGAACAATCTCGTGATGCACGAGGCAATACTTATTTTATTGATCATAATAATAAACAAACATGTTGGGATGATCCACGACCAAGTAAATTATTTAGTTTTTGATTATTTTTGTTTATTTGAATTTTCTTGATTAGATTATTATCGTTCGATGATGACTAAACGACTTGATGTACCTATTCCACCAACACCAATGTCTATTCCACAATCATCAACATCACCTATTCCAACATCATCATCACCATTTCATCAACAACGACTTTCATCATCAACACTTTCACCAACAACAAGTATGGCTCAATTAACAACAAATTCTCCACCAATTGTTTCTCAACAACAAGATCCATTAAAAAATAAACTTTCAGAAATTTTAAATGAACAACGAGCTTTACAACAACGTAAAGAAGAATTAGAAAGAATGGTAAGAATAATTTTTCTTTTTCTTTCTTTCTCTTTTTATTAATAACTAGTTCCTATGAACAGATAAAACAATTAATATTAATAGGATACTAACGGTATGATAATAAGCTTTTAATATATATTTATATATATATATATACATGTTTTTTTCTTTTGCTCATGGTGGTAGTGTCTTTTATGTTGCAAATATTTTAATTATTTTAAAATAAAATAAATTTATTTTATTTTATTTTTATAGGAAGCTGATATTCGTAAAATGCTCAATCATCGTATCAATACGAATAATTCATCGGCTGATCAGGCAACAATTGATTCATTAATCGATGATTTACTTCATCATAAACGACAAAATAGTGAAGACAGTGGAGTTGGTGAAGGTATTATTGAATAGATATTGTTTTTTTAAAATTGGATAGGATAATCTTAATGATATTAAAAAAAAATTTTGTATCTTTTTTTTTAAGGTCGAAATAGTATTAATCGTACACCTGATGCATTAAGCTCAACGGATTATGTTGATGATCCTCTTTTTCTCAATCAAGCAGGTATGTTCAAAAAATGCAAAAAAAAAAAGAAAATTTACTAAAGCATTAAGATACTTTTTTGAAAAATGTAAACAGGAGCTTCCCGTCGTGTTACTTGGTCAGGGTATGTGTTTCTATTATTGAGCTGTAAAGGAAAATGGTTTAAAAATAAAAACTAATTATTGACTTGACTAAAATGACAAGAATTGAATTTTTATTTTTTCGATTAAATTTTTTTCTTTTCGTAATTCAGATTACGCTGCAATTCCAGTGGACATGGAACTACCGGTACAGGACCCTCAGCCAATGGCAGTTTTGGACGATACACAACTTAAAGTATGTATTTTTTTTTTGTTTAATATATATACATTTGGATTTATTTAATATGATTTTAATTAGATCAAATCTATTAAACAAAATCATCAATGGCTTTATCATGCCAATACTTAATACAAAGAAAAAAAAACATTCAAATAAATTTTTTTTCTTCTTTTGTTTCAATATTACGTATTTATATCAAAAGAATCAATACATTTTCTATACGGTTCTTTCTTCCTTTTTTTTTTTAAAATTTGTTTCTTTCCATGCGCGTATCTTGTATAAAGAGCAGAGAAAAAAAACACATTCTTTTTGTTTTTCTTCCTTCATTAATTGCTCATCATGGTATTCATTCTCCGGTCATCTTTTTGTTTCTTTCTTTATTTCGGTGTTCTTTATCTTTTGTATTCGAGAATGAATCGTCTTCGAAGGTCCGGTGTATGTTTAGGTGTGTCTATATGTCTATGTTTATTTCATAGCTACGCGCTCAATCATATAAATGTAGATTGTTTTCTTTTGTGCTAGTTTAATTATTGCTTCGTATCGCTCTATTTTGTATTACTACTAATACTACTACTATTATTATTGCTTCATTCTAAAAACAAAAAAATAATATTTCTTTAGATATATATATATATCATGTATATCATTGAAATGGTACTCAATTAAAATGAAAGATGAACATGAACTAATGATGTATTTATGATTAAAAAAAATATTATTATGGAAATCATTCGGGAGTATTGAGAATGCTTATAAAGAGTAGAAGGATGGAAGTTGAGCATGATAATGACTGTTGATTGTGAATTATGAATATATTCTTTTTCGGTTTGTTTAATTTGTCTTGAATGTTGTGCATGGTCTATAATTGATGTTATCAATGACTGACAAGAAGTCAATTACTATTATCTCTTTAGATAAATGCAATCACATGAGAAATAGCAGACTACAAGACTAAATTCTCTACTGTTTCTTCCACCAGTGTCATTTGCCAATAGAATTGATATTCTGCTGATCGATAGGCACAAAGCAAACTAATAGAAGTTTGTAAAACAAACGAACCAGGGAAAATCTTTAATTGATAGATCTCTTGGACATTTGAATGCCATGAAAATTTCTAGTGTATGATTGTTTTTTGATATTCTATATCTCAAGAGGAACATATTTTCTTAAGGCTGAAAGTTTCAGAGCATTCTAAGATATAATTATTATTGAATCATCATAGTAGATGAAAGACAATTTTTGCTTTCATTAGATTTTTAGATATTGTATTTTTTTTTTGGTAACTTCAACTATTTAATAAAAACATTTATTTAAGTGTCACTATGTTTTTTTTCCGTTGATTTCAAAACCAATAAAAGTCAAGAAAAAAAAACAAACGAAATGATGATTTGTAATAATTATATATCTATATCACTCTAGATGCTTTTTCGTATAACAGCACAAATACGTTTAACTGATGCATGTTATAGTCTTCGTTATTCACCACATATACTTAATCAATTAGCCATTGTTTCATGTGAAAATTTTGGTATTCGTGGTCGTAGTACAATTCAATTGATTAATAATCATGATCAATTAATATTTAATTGGTCTGATGCATTATTTGATATGAGTTTTGTTGAAACTGATCCATCATTAATTGTTTCTGCTAGTGGTGATGGTTCAATAAATCTATGGCAATTGAATAATACTAATTCTTTACCACTATTATCTTTACAAGAACATAAACGTGAAGTTTGGTGTGTTCATTGGAGTGAAAGTCGATCAAATGATGCTCTACTTAGTACATCAGCTGATGGTACAATTAAATTATGGAATTTTAATAGGTTAGAAATAAATCAATTTACAAAAACTTAATTAGAATTCTTAGTTGTTTTTAGTTCACCTATTGTTTATAAAACTCTATCAGGACATGAATCAGTAGTCTATGAAGCTCGATGGCATCCTCGTCAATCTGGTCTTATAGCATCTGTGTCAGCCGATTGTTCATTACGTCTATTTGATATAAAACAATCCTCAAATATTATTAATCCACGTGCACATCCAACTGAAATTCTTTCTGTAGATTGGTCAAAATATGATGATCATTTATTAATAACTGGTGCTTGTGATAATCGTCTTCGTTTATGGGATATTCGTATGATAACAAATGCAATAACAATTTTTGAAGGACATGAAGCTGCTATTCGTCGTGTTAAATTTGATCCACATAGACGTGATCGTTTAGCATCCACTGGTTATGATGGACAATTGAAATTATGGAATTTAAATTCAACAAATATACATACAGAACGTTTTTGTAAAGATTTTATTTATGGACTTGATTGGAATTTATTTGAACGAGATAAATTAGCTATAGGTGCTTGGGATCGAATAGTACGCCTTTGTGAAATTGTTTCAATCTAGAAGTTTTGTTTTTGGTTTCGGTTAGTATGTGATTTGATATGATGTATCGTTTCTTTTATAAATTGAATTAAAATGATAAATGTGATTTTTTTATTAGTAGAACAATTTTTTTTTATTCAATTTAACATTTCATGAAAAATATAAAATCTTATGGTCTATGACGTATTTCTAATATTACATAGAATATAATAGTCAATATTAAATAAAATTCTAGTTTTCGATTCATTTCTATCATACAAATATAAAATTGAATTTTATTGGATGACAAAACGATCATTTGGTTATATTAACTATATGACCTTCTTGTTTGCACGAGAAAAAAAAAACAAATCAAGCAAGTAAAATTATCAGTATTTGTTTCATATCATTTGGAATGTGTATTATATTGTGTGTATCTTACTATACATAGTTTCATGTCTTTTCATTTATGAAAATATTTTTTATCATTTTTATCTCGTCATAATCACAATAAGATGCACTTCATACAAATAAACAACATCGACAACATTATAAAGCGTTAGATTTATTCATATACCATATTTTGTAAAACGAAAAGATTGTTTGATATCTTATGCAAATGAATATCAATCGACATTAGATAAACATAATGATCAATTTAGAGAAAAGTCTATAAAAGAAAAAAAAAACAGAATATTGCTTTTGTCACGTGAAATTAGACAAATGAGTTCTAGGAAAATAATATATGAGATGATCTAAGCTGTTTTGAAGAAGATGAAATTCGCGAGAAAACAGATATACAAGAATGAACATAATACTTGAAGAAATTCAATGTTTTTAAAAAACAATTTGTTATGTTTAACTTGAGGATAATTAATCAAATCAGGATTTATATGTGGAAAAGATGAATATTCATCTGGACAATATCAATTTCAATAAAAAACTGAAGAATGTTCTTTTATACAATGGATATATTATTTGTTTTCGACATCGATCAAAAACTATTTTTTTAGACGAAAATTCAATTAATTGTCTTGCAGTATTTAGTTAGGTTATACTTAATTAAATTTATATCAATAGTAATTTAAAAATTATCATAGTGATATATAACAGAAGTATGTATTGAAATATTATATTTTGATCAAAATCAATAAACATTCAGTTCGTATAAATCTTATGCTAATATGAATCATAAAAAAAGATGGTTTAAGATAGCATTAATTTTCAGTTTCAATGAGCATTTAAAGTTGTGAAATGAGAGAAAAAGAAGAATAAAACAATTTTTAGAAAATTTTGCTACAAGAACATTCTTGTCCACAAAATACTTGAACTTATACAAGATGAAATTTACAAACAACTTTGTTAAAACGTTTGAAGTTGTTTTGTAAGAATTGGATATTGAGTTCGCTTTTTCTGCAGAATAAAATTTTTGAATGGTATATAAATATATCTACCACAAGCAGATTACACAGAAATATCATTACGAATGATAATAGATGTTTTTGCTTAGAAACCAAGCTGAAAGAAAGCAGAACAGATATGGAGTTGTAGGAGAGATATGATTTTGTTCATAATACTAAAATAGAGTTCATGCAGTTACGCAATTCATTGTCCATTGAATATTTTATTAAACATACATTTTCTTGTTTTTTTTTTAATTTTTATTCTTTTGCTTGGTCTTTTAAACTAATAAATAAAATCTGATTCTGTTTATATTAGAATAAAGAAATATATTGCTTTCTTCTCTAACGATGAAGATTTTTCTAACCTTATTATTCGCCTTTAAAAAATGTCAAGACAAAATGATAACCGTAGTTCTCATATTCATTGTTTTCTCAAATATTCATTGTGTAGGTCTATTAAAACTCATAATTATTCAGGAATTCACTTGACATTGCATGGCGTGTGTACTCATTTAGTGAGTAATTCATTAGGGCGAGAACTGTTCTTGGCTCTATTCTTATACAAAAATTTCAAATCCAGTGCATTGTCTTTTCATGGGCTTTGATACAATATCTACTGATTATCAATAAGCATACAACTTGATTTGTTTTCTGATAACTGATTTGGGATTTATGCAATGAAACATGCAATAAACTCATCGTTGTACGTTGTACAACATACCAATAGGCTTTTTCTCTGGATTTGACATATCGATCACTTTGAAAGTTTTCTAATCTCATAAATGATACTACATGTTCATTTATTGCAAAATTCTTGGAATGATTGTGTATAATTGCTCCAAGAAAAATGTTTCCTTCTAGGAATTATTTCCATTTCATGGGTATTGATGTTTCTTTTACACTAATTTATTTTTTTACACTAACAAAAAAGTGTTTCATATTATCTTCATCGTACATTTGCGTTAATTATTGCAAACTTTATACAACTTACTGGACAACGAGTACTATTCCGTAGCTATTATAAACATCATAAATTTATTTTAGTAACTAGCATTTTTGTGTACATTGTGGACATGATAGAAATATACTTTTCATGATATATTAATATAAGTATATGTAAAGGTTTGAAGTTCGGTTAATAAGAATCTTCTGATAATGCATAGCTCATGAATAGCGGTCGAAAAAAAAATATTTTTCTTTTTTATGAATTTCTATTGCTAAGATCTTGTCCTTATGCATTATTATTGTATATAACTGTTGTAACATTATTATAATGCGAAAAACATTGAAATTGTAGAGTAGTAAGTCATATGTTTGTATGTATAACCTTTCCTATCTATCATGAGATTAGTGTGTGCGCAA